CAGTTATATATATATATATATGTGTGTGTGTGTGTGTGTGTGTGTGTGTGTGTGTGTGTGTGTACATGTGTAACACTTTCTGCAAACGGGGGAATATATATATATATATATATATATAAAATATAAATAGTTAATTATTAAAATAAATTATAAGATAAATGACGCCATCTGCTGTAGTGATTTTAAACAAAAAAATGATTTGACGAATTTTTAATGTTGCCAGCAGGTGGCGACATAGTTCATTCATTACTTTGTTTCTGTTGGTGCTGCCGGAGTTCTTTGTCACCCATACACAGAAGAACATCAAAACATCTTGGATAAAGACAGAAAACTGCACAAACTGTCTCTAAATAACAGCTAATGAAAGGTCAATCTAATTAAAAAAACAGGACTGAGACATGATATAATGTGCTGCTAATTTAAATTGTCTGATCGGAATGTAAAAAAAAATGCTTTATTTTATAACAAAAATAGCATGTTGTGGCAAATAACAAAATAACTGAAATAATTTGTAAAACACCTTAAAAGAGCTGAAAAAAGTAAAGAGACTTTAATGCTGATTATTCCACAAATGTAACTACAGCAATTCATGTACTCAGCATTTTGTGTGGTGAAGGTTAGGCTAAGGCTTACGTTAACATTTTTAGGGTACAAAATTCATTTTTTCCCCAATCCTTTTGGCATTAATATTGGAACCTTTAAAAAACTTTAGACACAAAACTCATGACTAGCTAATGACCAAAATGCACTTTAAAAAAAAATATATATACTTTTTCCAATTGCTTGCATTTAGCAGTAATACAGCTGTTCCAAATATAACAACTGTTGCATTACTAGTTATATATATATATATATAAAAAAAAAAAAAGACAAACAAAAGTTACATCAACACCAACATAGTTGCTGTAGATGCTGAATTTTTTTGTAGGCCCTAAACAAGTTAGCATTTCCAGTTCCATCGTCCTGAATTCAATGGGTTTTTGGTTAAACGCCTGAAAGTTTCAAGATATTTTCACGGTTTATTCTACGACATAAAATACATCAAGTAATGATTTTTTAAAAAGTTTTTACTTGTCTTAAAAAGTGGCTGATAACAAGTGGCTAAGTACAGAGGTTGTTAGGAGATATTATTATATATATATATCGGGTTGGGAAGTCGTGGCCTAATAGTTAGAGAGTCGGACTCGTAACCAAAAGGTTGTGGGTTCAAGTCTCATACCGGCAGGGATTGTAGATTGTAGTGTATGTACAGTGCTCTCTCCCACCTTCAATACTGTGGTGCCTTTGAGCAATGCAACGAACCCCCAACTGCTCCCCGGGTGCCGCAGCATAGATGGCTGCCCACTGCTCTGTGTGTGCACTTTGGATGGGATATATGCAGAGCACTAATTTCTAATATGGGTCACCATACTTGGCCACATGTCATGTCACTTTTAAACGTCATCACTCTGTCTGAACCAGAAAACGAATCTACTCAAAACTAGTCTGCTTTTACAGCCTTGTTCCATTTATAAGCATGCTCTTGCAAAGTATTCTAACTCCAAATTTCAGGGAATTTTTTTTTTAAATAAAGACCGAAAGAGCTTTTGGAAACTTACGTTGTGATGTAGTTTATTTATAATGTAGCCTACGTTTTCTTTTTTTACTTCTGGTGATTGCAATTAGGCTTTAAAATTCATAAATGTTGTGTTCATGTTTGATGATTATCATGATAAAAAAAAAAATTGAAGCAAACTTTTGTTGGTCACAGAGCTTATTTTCTTCAATAATCCAAAAACCAGTGTAAAAAAATCCTGCAGGGGTTTTGTTCTGTCATTTTATTGGGTTATTTGTATTATTTCTTACCAATGTGCTTGGCAGTTTTTGTGCAGCTCGTCTGCTGAGTCAATTTGACTGACAATACAAATGATGAACCCCTCACACATCTACCTATTATTACTGTAGCAACTGAAAACATCTGTAGTCTCACTTATGGTCTTATTACACCATTGTAACGAGTGGCTGTAGTCTCATTATTCTGTTTTTTGTTTACATGCACATTGTCTGCTTGAAGTGCTAGCATTCGACAAACACAGCATACACTCAGATCTACACATATGAATGAAACCCTGTCTGTAGTATTCTCTCTAGTGTTTTTATAGTGATGTATTGACATGTAGGACTATAATAAAAAGTGTATCACATATTTTGTACAACAAAATTTAATAATAGTATGACCAATTACACGGTGAAACTACTGGTCTCTTGCGTGTAGGTCATCTAAATTATTGTTCCTATGATACTTCATGAGTTATTTGAACCAATAATTCTGCAAGTATGAGGTTTCTGATGTGAATGCACAATGCATCATTTTGAACACTGGACAGCCTATGTTAGAAGTGAAGGTTTTGTTTTGAAAAAAAGACATCATGGTTCTAAAATTAGTGCCAAAGTGATTGTAAAATAAATAAAAATCATATGTACAAGCAGACACTGAATAACTACAAAATAGTGACTACAAACTTTAGAACCATTAGACACCTTCACTGATGAACTTTATATCTTCAGTTAACCTGTTGTTGGTTTATATCATCAAAATGATGTATCGTCTCAGGAACATGGCAACTTAAAAACTGAGAATATAAATCTCTTTCATGTCTCAACCAAATCAAACTTAAGCTTATGCCCTTGTGATAACAGATGACTTAACATATGTGACCCTGGACCAAAAAAAAACAGTCATATATGTCAATTTTTCGAAATTGAGATTTATAAATCAGCTGAAAGCTGAATAAATAAGCTTTCCATTGATGTATGGTTTGTTAGGATACAATTATTTGAAAATCTGGAATCTGAGGCTGCAAAAAAATCTAAATATTGAGAAAATCGCCTTTACATTTGTCCAAATGAATTCTTAGCAATGCATATTACTAATCAAAAATTAAGTTTTTAATATATTTACAGTAGGAAATGTACAGAATATCTTCATGGAACATGATCTTAATATCCTAATGATTTTTGGCATAAAAGAAAAATCAATCATTTTGACCCATACAATGTATTTTTGGCTATTGCTACAAATATACCCCAGCGACTTAAGATTTCAGGGTCACATATGTTCTCATTTCTAAGCTCTTGCGTGACTGAAAACCTAAACTACTAGAGTCTGATTAATTTTGTCTAATCTTGTCTTATTCATGTTTCCGTGCATAAAACATGATATTATTGCTCTATAATTCAATATTGCAGTGCTTTTTTTTCTGGAGCTTCCCATCACTGCACATTTTGAGCGCTCCTTTGCGTGACACCCTCATTAGGATTTTCTTGGCGTCAGGTCTTGTGGTTTCTATTATTTGAGCTACTAAAGTGAATCAGGTGTATTTGTTGTCCATAATGACCTCTAGCGGACGCACAAAATACTGCATGTGATTTATTGCTGCCAAATGAACTTGGACCTGTAATTCTGCCAGTTTGATCAAATTTACAAACTAAAACCGTTCAAAATAAAGTAACAACTATATAGACATTTTAAAAACCTAAAAATGACAAAAACACAGTTACTATAATTTTAACATCTAATTCCAAATATTAAAAAACTTCAATAGTACATCAATGATCCTAAAAAAAACACTGTTTCATTATTTCCGAGATCCGCCAGATCTGTTATGTTTTTACAAAATATAAATGATTTGAAACATTTTTTTATTGGTACAAAATGCCATTTTATTGAGTTCATCACACACGTTCGTTCCAACCTGATTGCCATTTTGCTAAGATATAACATGATATAACAGTAAAGACAGCAACAGCTATTAAAAACAAAACAAATCAAACATAATGAATCAGACAACATTTGTCAACATCAGAATCACACCACAGTTGACTTAAACCAAGAAATAAACTCTTCTTTGTAATTTGACAGACCCCTGCTTGCCCTGAGTGTAATCTATGGGGTTATATTTTGAGCTGTTTTATGAGTAATAATATATAGTGAAATGTTGTAATTTTTTCTTCCAAGATCACTTTTGATCTCATCTAACAGATGCTAGTATACCATATTATTACGCTCTGCACACATTCACGTCTGCATACACTAAGGGTAAAAGCACAACGGTGAAATTTCAAAAGGTCTATATGATGACACTTTAAATGGATATTAATCTATTTTTTGCTCTCCTCCCTCTATTGTTATCACTTACATCTCCTCAAAGAAAAGAAAAAATGGTTTAGTTCTGGAACACTTAGATATGGAACTCACAACAAACAAACAAAAAAAAGATAGCTACAAACACACCCCAAATCACTTCTTACCAACCATGAAGATTATTCAAATAATTTCTAAATTACTCTCCCTTCATATGCAGAATCCGCCCCTTCAGTTTATAAAGTGACATCATTACATGATCACATAAGAGGTCCATTCATGTTTAACAAACAATCACTAAAAAAACCAACCTTCAGAAATGCTCTCATTTGAAAAGAAGCCCCTTTTCCATTCATAAAGTCAACATTTAAAGGGGATGCCTTGATATGTCTATTTAATCTATGGATATAATCGAATAGTTCCATTTAGCGGAGTCATTTATTGCTCCCAAAAAATGAGGCAGCTTCCTGTTAGCTTCAGGAACCGAACTACTGAACTACAAATCATGACGTTTAGAGGCATCCTGTCCAAATAATCACATCAAATAAGGAAAGGAAACAAACAAAAGCAAACTCACCCACCCTAAGTTACACAAAAAAAATCATCTATCCATAGACACTATAAGTAAATATAGTCTTTAGCTACTGACCACTCAGACCAGTCTTTTTCAGCGCAAAGGTGAAAATAGACTTTTACAGCTAAAAATCGTTTTTTCGCTCTCCAAATATTAGGTATATAACCCCTCCCTAGGATTTATATAGTAAGAAATTCCATAAGATCTACAAAATATCCATCTTTAAAAAATAGTTCTGCTTCTTTAAATATTTAGAATACATTCATGACTATTGGTAGTGCCTTTATGAACGGTGGCAGGGCTGCTGTGTTCCCTCTGTCGTCACTGGGTCAGTATCTAGTTTGGTATTCATGGTGCCATCTGTTGAAGTCATTGTAGAACAGAACAATGCTACCAGACGCCATTCCAGTGATGATGCATCTGCACAGCAGTGAAGAGGACAAAGAGAGGGAGACAGAAAAGTGTCCGATAAATATTAGACTGATATTTTGACTGCAGAGTTCATTTATGGGAGAGCAAAGACAGCTGTAACATTTTGGTTTCTGCTTATTCCAGATTTTTATTTTTTTTAATTTATATTTATTTTTATTTAGACCTTTTGTCTCAAACATCTTTAATATGTCAGCAGTCATTACTCATGCCAGTTACACAACATAATCAAGTCTGATATAAAAACTAGAAGTAAATGAAATACTAGACTCATCCTCAGACTACAGTACATGTACAGATACAACAATCCAGACCAATACTTTGTATTTCATTTAATTACATTTTTTATATTATATTTTTACTGGATCCTTTTCTGGAAGAAGTAAATGGAAAGTTTTTTTAAATTCTTTTCTAATGTAGCAAATGAGACCAGAAACAACTCAAAAACATACACTGCCATTCAAAAGTTTGGGATCAGTAAGATTTTTGTTTTAAAAGAAATTAAAAAAGTTCCCACAAACATATTAAGCAGCACAACTGTTTTCAACGTTGATAATAACAATAAATGTTTCTTCAGCACAAAGTCATATGCGAATGATTTCTGAAGGGTCATGTGACCAATCTGAAGACTAGTGTAATGGCTGCGTTGCCATCACAGGAATGCATCTGATTTTTCAATGTATTAAAACATGGAAACAGTTGTTTTACATTTTAATAATATTCACAATATTACCGTTTTTACTGTAGTTTTGATGCAGCTTAGGCGAGCATAAGACTTTTTTTCAAAAACAATAAATTATATTACACAGTCTAACTCTACTTTTGAACAGTAGTTTATGTATGTTTTGAAGAAACTTGTCTATTTCGAATGAATTCACATCTGTGGCCATTGCTAGAAATGTGTGTTATTTTGCTAAGAACTACTGGATTGAATTGTGTATTTATAAAATGTTACAATTATACCTGCTCTTCCCTATGTCAAAACGGAGATATTGTTATTTATATCTTTTTATAATTAGTCTAGAAAAGGGACAAGAACTTAGTTGGTGTCTTCATGTATGCTACCTTTGGTCATGTGACATAGCCATCGAGCGTATTCCAGCATCACATCCTGGGTAAGCGAAGAGCTGTTTGAGATCATGGATCTGCAACACGCTGAGAACTCCTGCATCTCCTCCACACAGCAGATACTGTCCATCTTTACTTAGCAGCATCGCCTGGAGCAAAAAACAAACAAACATGATATTCATTGTGTAAACAGAAGACTTTTGTAGCACATACGGTCAGTATTTTCTGCTTTTCATTTTTTCAAGTCAAAGCCGTGGGTTCATGTAATTTTAGATGAAATAGAAGTCATACAAAAACGAATGAAAGATTTTGGCTTCACAGTAAATATACAGTAAAGCCTATCAGTCATAATATCATTTAAAATCTTATTAAAAGTAATTAACCACTCAAAAGGACCCCCGACCTTTTAGCGGCCTTTCATGTTTCTCCATGATAAATAATACTGATAAGAATTTGATTTAAACATGCTTTTTTGTCTTGCCCTTGGCTCAGTGAATAAGCTCTTTGTAGCGAGTGATGAACGTCTGGAGCGTCCGGCTAACCGGTGATTACAGGGGTTTATTGACACCCCTGTGGACCTTAGAGTGAGTGTGTCCTGCCAGTGGCTGCCTCATCCAATCAAAAACCCCACAAGCCCCTTTCTTTCCCAGCATGCACGGGGCCAACCTGGCGAACAGTTTGTTTCTTAAACCGCTGTAGTGGTGGTATCCTGCGGCGAAGGGCAGACAGAGTATGAGATTTATTCTGTTCATCTGGTTTTCCTGTGTGCACATGGGCTGTGTAACACTTTAGAGGTCCCACGAGAAACACAGATAATATAGAACAGCAAACACACTGGGCTCTTTCTTTCACTACACGCACACACACACCTCCACACTCTTGTGGGAGAAGATGCTGTAATGACAGTGTGTTTGCAAAGTGGCTGTTAAGTGTAATTAATTAGATTTAATATATAAACTTGACAAATTGCATTAACCGGTTATTTTCCTTTAGAGGGTTTTGATGTATCATTTATAATTCAGATCCTAAAACAGGTGATGCTTACAGCAGAATCTAGAATGGAACGGAGAACTTTGGCTTCCTGTAGGGGAGACTGGGGTTAGTTGTCACAAGGGCTATATTTTAGGACCTATTAGGTTTTGACTTAAAAGTCCATTTACAAAAATGCTTGTTTTCTCTAGCAACGATTTGTATATTGATTTAAATGACCTAGTTCAAAACCCTTTTAAATTCAGTTTAACGTTGTTCTTTAGTATTTTTTCATAAATGTGAGGGTGGAATATCATGTTTTACATAAATTACATAGATTTTGTATGTCTTATGTTTTTATTAATAACAATAAAGTATTATTATAACTACTACTATTGCATGTTACCTTTTCACTGCGGTTTCACAAACAGTTTTGTGTTTTATAATGATTTTATAGTTTTTTTCTTCTTTTTCTGTAAAACTATTAATTAGCCTGTAATAAGTTAAATACAAATATGTTGCAGAAGGCAGCTTTTTATTTTATATAATTTCACCTTTTCAAAAAATAAAAAAAAAATAAAAAGTATTCTTCTTAATTACTGCTACCTTCTTATTGTGGTTTCATGAACAGTTTTGTTTCATAATGATTTTATTGTTCATAATTATTTCATTGTTATAAAAAGATGGAGCAATTAATAAAACACAATGTTCTAAACTCGACCATGGTCATGTAAGCTACAAAAGCTACAAAATAAATGATCAAACTTTCCTGCTCGCACACTCTCCTCATTCCCCACTACCACAGTCATGAGTGAAATCGCTATGAGCTATGAGTGAAATAGCCAGTATCAATCACAGAGACTGCTCTGCTAGATCACTGTCCAGCAGACTTCAGACAGTTACAGCAGCTGGGATTTGAGTGCATTTGCGTGCATGTGATCTCTTTTGATTTGTTTTGGATATATCTGAGATGTGTGTAATTAGGGTTCAGGTTACACTGTGGCAAACCCCCGAGCACTTTACTTCAGTTGTGGTATAAAGCAGAAGCTTGCGACAAACATATGAGATCAAAATCACACAGAAGGGAAGCATCACCGGAGACTGTCACAACTCTGTCTCCTTTAATGACAGGCAAAGAATCAAGTGATTCTTCAACGTTTTTCATCCAAGTGAGTGTCCAAAAGTGCTTAATATGAATAATCTCAAACTCTCAAATTGACTCAAACTCCACCCTGTGACTCATTCTGTGACTAAATGATATGGTTTGGTCATTGCTTCAACATGAATTAAGTCTTCTGTTCGAATGTGTCTTATTACTTCAAAGATGTCTGAGAAAATATATCAGTACATAATCCAGCATTCATGGTGGTCCCTCTGGACCAGGTCTGGAAAAGGGTCTGTGAGAAGCAGAGATGCCCAGGTTGCAGAACAGGTTCGGTCAGAATCATAAATCAGTGGTCTCCTCCCAAGGCTGCCATTCCAGAATCCTCCAAGATGGCTGCCGTGACTCAGATATCTGACTTACAGTCATGCCGTGATTTTAAACAACAGGGTTGGTTGTGTTGGATGATGCCCCACTGTTTTTTTCTCCTGATCTGCTGATCTGTCTTGTGTTAGGTCAGGACATGTCTGGCACGAGTAAAGACTGGATTTATGAAGACTTTAATGTACTCCATTGCGTATGTGCCGAAGGCTCGGGAAACGTCTGCTAAAATGGTTACTAACAGACAGACACTCAGTTGTGGGCTCCAGAGAGTCATTCATGTATTATTTCTACTTGTCCAAATTAATGTTCTGTCAGACCATCAGCATGAAGACTCACTTTCTCAGCAACAAACTGTCCCAGCAAACCACACACTAAACCGCACACACCCTCTTCTCCACAAACACACACACTGTCACAAAGATGACACTTCATCTGGCATTAGAGGAGCTTACAGTTGTGTGTCTGTGTGTATGCTGATGTTAAAAATGGTAATGAGAATTTGAGGACTTGGAAATGAGCAATGACTGATCATAAATACATATTTTTGTAACATGATTTTTTGTTGTTGCTACTTTTCATGTGGATCATATGTGTAAACTAGAATGTGCCAAAAGCACCCTTGCTTTTGATTTTGAGATTGGTTACTGTGACAATTTTGCAGTAATATTGGTTAGGTGGAGACAGTGTTCAAATTAAGGGTATTATTTTGTTGTAGTAAATAATAACTTAATAAATAAATTTTAGATTTAGGCTGCAATCACATTACAATGCTCTAGGCTAGGGCTTCTGTTTTTAATAAATAATACATCGCAAATAAGACACAAGAAACAATCAAAATGAAAAAAAAAAAAAGATCTACTCCACTTTCCCAAATTTGAAGTCTGTCCAAAATTTAAAGAATGCTCTAGGCTAGGGCTTCTGTTTTTAATAAATAATACATCGCAAATAAGACACAAGAAACAATCAAAATGAAAAAAAAAAAAGATCTACTCCACTTTCCCAAATTTGAAGTCTGTCCAAAATTTAAATTTGTGATGTTTAGAACCTCTACTGGTTCCACCACTTCATTGTACAGTTCAGCTTTAAACAAATTAGAATTTTTGTACGCAGCGGAATGTGAAATTAGCATGAGCTTGTGTTTCCAGTCTCCTGTGTGTGAGATGAATGGAAGTCAATGGAGTCTAGCGTGCCTGCGGCTTTATTTGAATGTGAACCCTTTCAAAATTACTTACATCTGATTTACATCAATTATACCAAAAATTGTGTTGGCTTTGAACAAGGACAATAATCAATTAAATCCTCTAGAAAATCACTACCGTTCAAAAGTTTAGGCCAGGGTCTATACAATTTTTCAATGTTTTTGAAAGAGGTTTTTTGTGCTGATCAAGGCTGGATTTATTTGATCGATTGATCAATCGTCAAGTGATATTGTAAGATAATATTACATTTTAAAATAAAAGTTTTGAATTTTTATATATATTTTGAGATGTCATTTATTTCTGTGATTAGAAAGCTGAATCTACATTACTTCAGTCTCACATGATCCTTCATGCTGATTTGATAAATGCTGAAAAAGGTTGTTACGTAATAGTTTTTGGGGAAACAATGATACCTTTATTCAGGATTATCTGATAAATAGAATAGCATTTATGTTTTAAAGCTTTAAAAAAAAATATATATATTTATTTAAAATAGAAATTTGAAGGCAAATATGTTTACTGTCTTTACTGTCAATTTTGATCAATTTATTGCATCCTTGGTGAATAAAAGTATTAATTTCTTTAACACTAGAACTACCGGAATTCTATAACTACTAGAATGGCCATAGCGGTCATTCTAACCGTTCATACTAGACTGAACTGAATGCCATTTTTGTCATATCATATTTACATTCGAAGCTTCTTTTGAGGTTTTACAATGAAGCTTTTAATGTCTGTCGTCATATTTTATGATGTCATCACCCTAAAAAATAATTTTTTTTTTGTAATATTTAATTATAAGAGCTACGTTCGTGTCCGGCTATTTGAAAGTCTAAATGCCAACAAATATGAACTGAAGAAGAATATTTCTGTAGATAAAACATTTTGTGAATTTCGGAAGTGATTACATACATCTTTTTTCAATACATTTTTACTTTTGTACTTTACAACGCTCTGGAGTTATTGGAAATGCTTGGATCACATGAATCGGAAACAATTCTTTGCCGCCACCACTGGAATCGTGATCAATGAATAAATGGATCTGTTATGATAGTATAGGTAATAATAAACATCAAAACAAACAAACAAAAAAGCCTAATTAGTTTGTTTTATTTCACAATATCAGTCTTGTCTGGGCTAAAATTAGGCTATACGCATTAGCTATAGCATTACACTAGCATAAAATAATAATAGCAATTATTATTATTATTATGGCTATTTTGTCAAAACATTGAAGTAGGCTATTATTGATAACAGCCAGCTATAGTCTTCCAGCCTACCTGGAACCGTGGCAGATTGAATGACAGCACTTGTCGAATTGGAGGTGTCCACCCGGTTTTTTACGAACGGGAATTTTACAATAGAATATAAAAACAACTAGAACAAAATTTGCTAGGCAACAGTGACGTGCATCTTCAACTGCGGGAAAAAGTCACAAAAGCAGAAATTATACGCCGTCTGTAATGCGAACGGTCAATTTGACCGCTTTGGCCATTCAAGGTAGAAATACTCAGAACTCTTTTGTGTTTTAATAAAATAATAATGCTATATAAAATATACAGATATTTAGGAAAAGTCAGGGTATTATAGTTATATGGGTTTTATTTCAACAAAGTTATTACATTTCAAAATTTGAAAACGGTCAAAATGACTGCCTTGGTAGTTCTAGTGTTAAAAGCCTAAACTTTTGAATGGTAGTGTACAACGATCACTGCTGATTTATCTTTGTTCATAATACTAAATATTAGTACAGAAATGTACAAAATAATTCCAGGATCAGCATTCTGAAAAATGACGCAAGCTGATCCTGCATTATGTCATATTAGTTGAATATTAAGTGTGTTAAAGAGCATCTTCTCTGTCACTGCAGACTCTGCTGTTTATTGAAAACAAATGGAACCTGGACACAATGAGGAAACTAATCAAGCTCGGAGCGGCAGAGAGCAGAGGAGCGCGTAACAGAGCTGGCCTGTTAAATGGGATGCAGGTGTGGGTATGTGTGTGCAGGACAGAGAGCGAGAGGGGCAGACACAGAGCTCTGTGAATTTTCCCAGGCCCAGAGGAAAGAGAAAGTGATGGAGCAGGAACGGTGGAAAGAGAGCTGGCCGATTTTAGGAGCTCTGCCCGCCAATGATAAATGTGTCCTCTAATGCAGGAGGCCTTGCCGCTGGCCATACCGCTCTCTTGCTCACTCTCATACATACATGCAAGTTGAGTGGCATTTCGTAGCCCTGCAGATCAAAGGACAGATCTGGACCCTTAGGGTTCAGAAGCCAAAAGAAAGAGAGATGGAGAGAGGAAAGAAGGAGGCCCGTAGGCAGATCATGCCAGCATTTAATCACACTCCAGACAGCTGACATGATAAAACACAGAGTATGAGAAAATAAATGGAAAGAGAGTAAGAAAAGGGGGGACAAATGGACATGCAAAAGCTGCCCAACCCTTTCCCCTTGCTTACTATTCACAAATAATTATACAGAGGGGAGTTCATGCTCATGTTTACCTTGATGTCTTCCACCTCCATATGTCCCAACAGTTTTCCATTGATGCTGAACACACAGAAGTGGCCCTTGTCATAATAAATGACACAGTGACCCTCGGTGGAGGACAGAACCAAACGTGGTCGCACACAGCCGTCTGGACCCTCCAGAGTCCTCAACAGGTCACCGTTCATAGAGTGGACAAGACATGGACCCTCTATTGTCAAACACATACAGACACATGAGGGTCAAATCAGACAGAATTATATTGTGCTGCTGCACTTACTTGTTCATGTGTTATTTGTGACGTAAAATGGTCTGTTGATTCTAACATTTTCATATTTCTTTAGCCTCTGACATGTTTATTATTTCCAGGCCAAAAAACATCTTATCCAGGACGCCATGTTTAGGGTAAGATATCTCAAGAATTATTATTGCTAGCCTCATAGGAATCGGTAAATACACTTTTTTCCCCTCACAAATAGCTCAAATAGTTAAGGGTCTACTAAGCGCCAAAGTATTTTCATAACTGGCCCCAAAAGTTGGAAGAAAGTGAAAAATCTAGAGATGTGTTAATTACACTAATAAAAACATCAAATATTTTAATAAAAGTGTTTAGATCTAAAAAACATAAGCTATTTTACAAGTCTCTGTCATGATTAAAATATGAAATATTAACATTCAAGAATGGCAAGACAATTTGTTCATTTTAAAGAACTCATTTGATAATGCTGACTATGTAGGGCAGTTTTGTAAATGTACATTTATATGTGTACTGTTCTCATGCAAAAAGACAAGTTTGACCCAGTAAGCAAAACCAATCATACACATTTAATCAACAACAAACACAAATAAATGAAATGTAAAATGAATACAAATACAATTTTCATAGCAATAAATTTTTTTTTAAAAATACATCAAATGAATGAACCAACTAATTATATGATCATTGTTAATGCATGAGTGTGTATTTACCTCTGCAGCCACTAATGACCAGTCCCAGCTCTGCACACACACTTGCACACGTGACTTCACAATCATGACCCGTCAGAATTGCCCGGGGAGTCACAAATTCTGCTGGAGACACACACACACACACACACACACACACAAAGAGTTGATGATCAAAGACAGTAAATACAATAGAAACAAGAACAAAATAATAATCACAATCACTACATTACACCATAAATTACATAACAATTGCATTTGCGTATTTAACACTGCTGTCAATTTCAGTTTAAATTTGTTTTTTTATTTGTTTTGTACTCTGTTATAATTTAATTAGAGTGTGTAATCACTGCAATCAGACACTCCCAACTGTTACAGTGTGTGTACACTTCTGCCATCCATGTGTCCTTCTGTAATCAGTCTAATGAGCTCTGCTAGTATTCGTGTGTGCTTTCTGTCAATATCACTCAGACAAAAACACCTGTCTCTCTCAAAGTGTGAACAGTTAAGGTAATGTCAAAAATAACAGTTAACAAACTAATGAATTCTCTTTCTATCTAGACACAAAGTCGTCAAACACACATTTAATTGTCTTAATCCAGCTGGCCTCTCTCTGTCTCTTTCTCAGACACACACACACACACACACACACACTCACACTCACACTCACACTCACACTCTCTCTCTCTCAGCGTAGATGTATAGGTTTCATTAGGTGGCAAACTTCCTAAATGTCTCAGCTTTGAGTTATACCCTACAACTCTGGGGATTAAAGCCTGATGTCGGATTGTGCCCTGAAAAGATCAATAAAACTGATATATTGGTGTATCGTTTAACCTCCCCGTCATCGGCCACCATTTGGTTCGCATTAGGACAACATCTGATTACAATCTAATACCTATATACTGCATACTATTTATCTGTACAGAAAATGCACACTAGAGAGTATCATTTACTCATAAGAGAAAGATGGAGAGAAAATGAATACATAAACGCAAGACAATTCTAGAAAAAAAATGCAGTAATATCTGTAACTGAAACAGCGTCAGACTGAATTAGTTTTAAAAATCAGGGTTCATGAAAATGCTGTGCATTATTTGGCTACTAGATGGCAGTGTGGTCAACAGAATCAATCCAACAATTCTCCACTGTACACAGCCTAGGCATGGTCTGTATTTGAAATCATACTGTAACTTCATTCTTGCCTGAAATGAAGAACTATGTCAAATTTAAAGAAATAAAAAAGTATCTAAGTACCATCATGTATAATAACATAAATTCACATTAATATGTCTGGAATTATCACGATTTAGTAACCAGACAGTGTACATAGATTTCAGCGCTAAAAGTAATTTTGACATTTTCTACCAAGTGTATGCTGCAGAATCATGAACCATGTTTGACTTGTGAAACTTAAATCAGCATTATTCCTAATAGATTGATAGACATAATATTTTAATAAATAAAATCCATTTTTAAAACATCAGAATTTGTTAACAAAATCATAATAATACATATGTAGTTTGGACAAGTTATGGGGGGTTTGAACTGATTCCTGCAAAGTTTCCTGATTATCTTGATATGACTGAATAAAAAAATCTTTGAAATTTAATTTGCTGATATTACTGGATAACATGGCCTGTACATGTGTTACAAGAGAGATTCAGAGATTCAGTTTGATTTCACTTTAGATGAAGGTCTAAAATGTTCTTTAATACCACTGATGTCAACCATCAACCTACAGTCATATTTATCTTTAGATGCTCATTACCCAAATCACAATTAGTCATAAATCCTGCCCCATTTGTAGAAGAGCACTTAACAGCATGTAGATCATCCAAAAACTCAAAATTAACAAAGGGAATGTGTGTGTTTTTGTGAGTGTGTGTGTGTGTGTGTGTATAGAGTGCTTTGAGCAGCACTGCAGCCATATGGTTAGTGTGTACAGGGGAAGCCTGTGGCATTTTTCACTTTTATTGAGTGTTCTCTCGCTCTCTCAGATAGATGGGACTGAACTCTCCTGAGCCAGAGACCTCCAAGTCACATTTACTGTCTCCCTCTGTGGCCCTCTGGCCTCCACTTTCACTCACACACACACACACACACAGGCAGGCAGGCCGATTCCATTTATGGTGTGATACTAGCCTGAAACTCAATCTTCTGAGCAGAGACCTGCTGTGGTCAGATGAAACTAGTTGTAGCTTCTGAAAGTGAGCTGTAAATCATTACACCAGCCTTGACAGATACACACTGGAATGTGTGTGTTTGAACAATGTGCTTTTAACACTGTTGCACTGCACTGATATCATCACCTGCATGAAAGCTTTTCCTATGTGTGATTGCTAAGCGCTGGTTGGGGATTTGGACTCTGAACATTACCCTGATCTTGACCTCTCTATGTGAGAACCATGAGGTTCTTCTGAGCATGATAATGATGAAACTATTTGTTCAGACATAGTATGGAGCTTTCATTAAAAGAAAATTCACATGACATTTGAGGATCACAAAAGGAGTTACTTAGCAGAATGTCCAAGTTGTTCTTTTCCAGACAATGACCATTTTCATTTTTGGGTGAACGTACACATCTGTATGTGGTTAAACATTTACAACTTACTTCCAGGGTTCTCTCCGATGCTGCTGTGCTTGCCGTTCCAGTACCAGAGCAGTAGTGTGGCGTCTCTGGAGCCGGACAGAACGTAACAGTCTCCACCAATGTATGACTCTGAGCGGGCCAGACAGGTCACCACATCAAGATGGCCAAACACAATCTGTGTCAGTTTACCTGTTAACACACACAACACAGGAATGAAAGCACTTACTGCAGAGTGTGAGGCAGTGGGGGTGTGTACAATGCACTATATATTTATAATGACTTTTTCCTCCATGATTCAAGGTCTGATTCTGGAGCATATCTTCATGGGGTCAGCAGTCTGCATTGTAGTACTCCCTGCAGGGCGTAAGTGAATGACTCTACTGAGATGATGCTGTCTGGTGAGTCGTTTACATACACCAGATGAGCTCACACACTCCCCAATTCTTCCCGCACTTTAAATATTTGCTTTTGGAGTGCTGCACGTGCATGCTGCAGTCTGTGTATGCATACGAAAAACAGCAATCGTTATATGTCTGTCTCTCTGTCTATACTCTATAACTACCCTGTCTGTTGGTCTATACTGAAAACCTACCTACCTGTCTGTCTATTGCTCTACCTCTCTAATTACCTTCCTTTCTGTCTGTCTGTCTATATTGAAAACATACCTACCTGCATGTCTGTTTGTCTATCGATCTGTCTAGCTACCTACCTACTGCCTGTCTGTATGTCTGTCTACCTGTCTTATCGGTTGGTCAATCCTGTCTGTCTATCTATCTACTTACCTAGCTACCTATCTTATAGTATCTGACTGTGTTTCTGCCTGCTTGTCTATGGCCTTGTTCAGACTGTCAGCAAAAATATGACTTTCTGCAAATCCAGACATTATCCAGATGGGTTTTTGAAAGTCTGGACAGCAAAAAAAAAAAAACACACAAAAAACACATGAAATCAGATTTTTTCAAATTTGATTTAAAAAACACTTATGAAAGTGGTTTGAAATGCGATTCCAACTGGACATTTACGGATGCTCACTCAACGCGACACAACTATAACGCCAAAACCAATAACGGAAATGCCAAAAGACACACCCCGCACTGCACAGTGAAGCTGGCCGTGACTACAGCACAGAACATCATACCAGCCTTCTCCATCGCTGAGTTTTTCCTGTGCGACGGGGGAGTTCTGCACCACGACTCGACAGGCACTTATTTGTAGAGTTAGGTGAAGTACCTCCAATTTTCCTGCAACCGTTTTGAAAGCTATACCTTGGTACACCTACATCATTACCAAAGCAACCCAAACAGATAGATTGGCTACAACTGGACACACAAATAGTATTTGATAACTTGCAATTAATAGTGCATCCAGTCTGCCTGAAAAGATCTAATTCGAGAATAGTTTGATTTGTCTGAACATAGCCGATCTATCTCTCTATCTTAACATAGCCTGTCTATCTTTCAAGAGGAAACCCCTTTTGCGTAGACTTTATGTGTCTGTGTGTGTATATCTCAGAGCTTGGGAGCGTTTGTGTGTGGTGTGATTCTATTGAAATGCAAGTTCCGCTTGCGTGACTTGCTTTCTGAGCCTCATCCTCATGGAGTCATGGTCCATCCGTGAGATGAGAAAGCTATCTGAACCCCAGGGCGATGGAGTTGTAATGCAGTCTGCAGGCTCATTTGTGACTTTTGACCCTTTCTTTTGTGTACTGTGGTGGAGGCGGTGTCTCCGTAGACACCGAGGTGGTTGGGGGGTCGTTGCGGTTACCTGTATCAGTGGAGTAGATGCGGAAGCTCTTGTCCCAGAAGCCACACAGCAGGATGAAGCGGTTGTCAGCCGTGATGACAAAACACTGAGCATTTACCTGGATGCTCTGATCTAACAGATCTGAGATCTGCCTTCTGTGAATGCCCACATTATTGGCTGAAAACAGAGAGAGAGAGTCACTTGTTATAAAAGCAATAACAACTTTTTGTTTAGAAAATAATTGGGTAAAGTGGAGAAAAATATAAACATCTTAGAAAAATAAAGCAATGATTATGGAGGGAGATACAGAAGGAAGGACATTCACAGAGCGGTCGAGACATTAACAGTGGGAGTTAGATGGTGAAAAAAACAGTCTTGACCCTAAAGGTCTACTCCAATGTCTTGTAAGTGAATTCCTGACAACCTCCTAAGAGATTATAAAGATGTTTAACTATTAGAATGAAAAAATATGACATTTGTCAGGAATACTGTGCATGCGCACATGATTTGTGAAAGAATACATAAAACAGCAGAAGACAGAACAGTAAAGGAAAGACTAAAATAATCATAAAAATCGAAGTGACCAAAATGTCATAAATTACAAGTTTTGTTTTCTTTTTTAAACACACTAAGACAGAAAAAGTCAGAGCTTGAGGAGGCCAGGCTACACAGAGTCAGGTGTGTGAGGCCCAGACACATTCATGACACACACCAGCGCTGCGTCTGTGCTGGAGCAAGTGGACAGATTATCAACAGCAGAGTCATGCAGAATTTACTGTGTTTAAATGTGTGAGCTGTGTGGAATGCAGTCCGTCTAAATACATGCATGACATTCCGGAGCAGGAGTGAAAGAAAATGAGCCATGAAAGATGTCTCTCCCCACACAGAGAGACAGAGGAGAGAGAGGGGAGTGTGATTTGCTGTTTTTGATGAATTTTTTAAAAGTAAAAAAAAAAAAAAATCCAGCTTTAGTAAGACATTTTCTATGTAGCTCTGCTAGTTTCATATATTTTGCATCACTCTGTGGTCTTTTGCTTCTCGAACAATGCAATCATTTAAACTTTTATCAATATTTCATGCCCATTTATTTATTTGGTAGGTAAAAGTGCAAGCAAGTCCCCAAAGTCATGTTCCAACACAGAATGGAAAACCTTACCAGAATGTCCTATTATTGCCAATGGGTTCGAAATGAAATGCAAAATGCATCTGAATTTTTTTTTTTTGGTGTCCATATGCGTTTGGCCATATATTATATTATATTAATTATATTATATTATATTATATTTATCCCTGGACCACAAAATCAGTCTTAAGTCGCTGGGGTATATTTGAAGCAATAGCCAAAAATACATTGTATGGGTCAAAATTATCGATTTTTCTTTTATGCCAAAAATCATTCCAATATTAAGTAAAGATCATGTTCCATGAAGATATTTTGTAAATTTCCTACCATAAATATATCAAAATTTAATTTTGATTAGTAATATGCATTGCTAAGAACTTCATTTGGATAACTTTAAAGGCGATTTTCTCAATATTTTGATTTTCTTGCACCCTCAGATTCCAGATTTTCAAATAGCTGTATCTCGGCCAAATACTGTCCGATCCTAATAAACCATACATCAATAGAACGCTTATTTATTCAGCTTTCAGATGTTTAAATCTCAATTTCAAAAAATGTACACTTAAGACTGGTTTTGTGGTCCAGGGTCACATATTATATGAATTATGTTATATTATATTCCATTACATTCCATTATATTATATTATTGTTTCAGACTCTTCACAAAAATGGTATATCAAAAAAATGTCATAATGATTTTGGACTGCTGAAGGCTTGAGTTCAGATTTAATGAATTAGTGGATGACAGAGCTGGAGGTGTAGAGAGAGCACAGGTAAGAAAGAGGACACACACAGATAAGAGTAAGGATCAGGACGGCGACCATGAAGTGACAAACAGATACATTGGGTGAGATATATGATACTGTATAATAATATGAGCAGCAGGAGAGCTGAGATATACGCTGAACAGGAAAAGAGAAAGAAACTTCAGAAAGGCTTCAGCCATATGTTATCACATATCTTCCCTCTCTCATCCCTTTATCCTCTTTTTCTTCCTAATCAACAGGTCGGAGGGATGAGAGGAGGACATATTGTCCTGACAGCGTGTGCCACGCGGCTTCAATCAGACATTATTACGCCATTCATATTCATTCAGTCTGACAGGACAGAGAGACAGAGAAAGAGAGAGAGAGAGAGCGCTGATGATGTACAGGCTAAGCCACAGCTCATTGCTTTCCAATTTGCATGCAAATGCTGATCTGAAGCTGAATGGCAGCTGGGTGAAAAACAGCACTCATCTCCTCCCAAGGGCCGGGCCCTCGCAACTCACAACAGCCAATCACAAATCACTCAACTGACAATTGACAAGCCACAGACCTATCAAAGGGTCAATCTCAACCGGTAACTGGTACTGCTGGTCCTGCACAGAAGAGCTTTGATGACCTGAGACAAACAGAGAGGACAGATGAAAAATAGATTTAATACTATGTACCATCAGGATACTTATTTATAGAGGTCAGTCAACAGTCATTTACTACAGCAGACAAAGGACAATAATAAACCAAAGAACATTGCTCTTCTGTAAAATAAAAAGAAATTACAAAAAAGTTGTATTATTGTCTGAACACAAATATGCCATTAGGAGGGGTAATGAAGAATATCCTAATGGAAAACTCTTTAAATTAATGCATAAAAGTAATCCTTGTATCCTTAGAATGCAAGTTATTGACCATGTGAATATTGCTGCTAGGACAGGAAATAGAGAACTTAATCTTAATCAAAGAGACATTTTGAATTGATAAATTAAAGGCTAATATATATATCCAGGATTGAATGAGGACTTGGATTTTACTCCTTTTTAATTATTCATTTGAAATGGTATTTTTTGAGTAGAGCTGGGCGGTATGTCCAAAAAAATTGATAATTTTTTCATATCAATCGATACCGATAATTATCACGATAAATGTCAAATCCTTATTTCTTTCAAGTTTAAAGCAAGATTTTTGCTCCAAAGTGAAAGTTGTAGAACCCAGACTATTTGTTTTCCTTAACAAAATGAATATCTTAATTTCTCGGTTTCTGCATGCATTATTTCAAATGCCATCTTTAAAACGCCTCTCAGGCATGCAAGTGCAGCTCCTATCTCTTTGAATGGGGAAACATCAAATTCTCCAAAACTGTTCGTCATGCTTATGATTAAATTTCATATTTGAAACCACCAATAAAATCATACAACAATTGTATCATAAATGTTGTTCATTTTGCTCAAATAGCATTAAAAAAAGCTTATTTTTCAGGCTAGACCTGCCAGTGCACATGCACATCTCAGACCGCTTACTGTTTCTGTGACATCAAAATCAGAGACAAAAACACATTGATTTTCATATAAACTGTTTAAAAAGGGTATTTTAGGTCGTTAACAGCATTTTTTTGTTTCTGAAAACATTAATTTTAAATGTATTACTCCCAGAACAGATCCCAAACATCAATTAAAACCATCAAATTTGAAGAGATCAAGCACTTTTTTCAATTAGATTGATCTTTAATAAAGAAAAAAGAAATAAAGAAGAAGAGGCTGATAAATGGAGGTGGACAGGAAGCTGAATGCACGGCAGAGGAAGTGTCACATTTGATCCAGTTCAGGCTGAGACATCAGTGTCTAAGAAGCTGATGATTATACATGAACATCATCCTGCATTTCACGTTTTGGTGTATTGGTGGATAATTTGTGATATAATTTGCAAGTTTTCATGTGATCTGCTTATGATGACAGGTTAAAATTTGGATTTTTTTAAAAGTTGATTTCTTTTTCTAAAAATGGCATGTTTCTGTTTTAATCACATTGTATGAATTCATACGAAATCATCACCTCATAAAATAGTTATATTTTCTTATGAGATTGGGTTGAGTAACCTGGTTAAAGGAACTAACCAGTATCAGGGGTGTAAAGGAACAGATCACATGATTCAACAGACTTGTTCACTCCTTATCCATCACCAAACACCTTGCTGTCTGATCGTTCTTGCTCACCAGTAAGGCCGTGCCACTTGTTGACAGCGAAGAGGCGGTTGGCGGTGACTGTGATGACCGCTGGGTTGGTTAGGCCTGACTGTGTGTTGGCGGCCACGTGGGTGACAGGCGAGTTTGACGGGAACTTGAGTACCATGATGACGTCCTGCTGCATCTGCTCTGTGAACATCAGTGGGGTCTGCAGAAGGAGATACTGTTGAGTCCATGAGCGCCACCATCAGCAGGGAGCGAGGAAGTGTAGAGGCAAAGAGAGTTATGGTTGGAGAGAGAATGATAAAAGTTGGAAGAGAAGCAGGAAGATGGGAAATTAGGCAGCGAAAGACGGTGTAAAAGAGCACAAAAACTGAGACTGAGGTCAGAGGTTATGAAGACATAACAATATCATAACTGGATTGGATGGAACTTGTCCAAAGCTTCTTCTTTTTTTCATTCTGAAATATATGCATTTTATCAGATGGAACACAGTAATAAGAGTTGCAAAATCAGCATCAGAGCATCAGCTCAAAAACTGTACAATTGATTTCTTTTTTTTTTATTGCTGTTCTGTTGACATTTAAAATTCTCTCATGACTTGGCAACAGGATTTTAAAGGTTGTGAATGTAATGAGAATTGTTTTTCCGAATATTGTTAATGGAAATGTTACTGAGCTGGAATTAAGTAGAATCAGAATCCTTAAATTTCCTTATTGTGACTATCATTATATATGAACAAATAAATCAATTAAATATATAAAAATTATATGGTTTAAAATAAATGTATATATTTATATATTATAATATAAATGTATAATTTATACCTAAAAAAAAAAAAAAATAATACAATAAGCCGAATACAACCTTGTGAGAAAAACTGTGATCATATCAGTATATGATTGCATTGGCACTGCCCTACACACAGACTGTTAGCTCATATTAGCCATGTACTGCTATATCATTCCAGATAAGCACTATTTTTTGCAGACTTGTGATGAAGTTTATGAATAGATCAAATGTGATGCTTAAGTAATTTAAAGCTGGAGAAAAGAGGGGAGGGAGAGAGAGAGAGAGAGAGAGAGAGGGAGAGAGAGAGAGAGAGAGAGAGAGAGAGAGAACAAAAGAAATACACAATTTTATAATTGCACACTAAGTTCCTATTCCTGGGTAATGAGTACAAGATCAACAGAAGAAAAACAGTCTGTAAAGGTAAAGTTGCAAAATACCATAGCAGATTCCAAATTAATCTGAACTTTCCCTTAGGCTGCCACAGTATATTCCAACCTCCATTAGAAACATTATAATCTGCTTTCTCCTGCATTCCACTCTACAAGTCAGGAGATGACGAGAGGCTTAAAAGGTATATGCACATACACAGCTGTTTGATTACTTGGCAGCAAAGTCATCCAACCATCAAGTTGACTTCCTCAGTGAGGCAGGGCTGTGTTTGTAGAGGCAGGAGATAGTGTTTAGACTGGGCACTCTCAATGAGCGATCTGACTGGCCGTGCTTTATAATGATGTTTCTATACAGCACAACAGCACAGGTTCACATTAAGAAAGTCTGATATAGTTTAAAATAGAAAACTATTGTTGGAAGTGTATGTATATGCTTATTTGCTTATTATTCATACTGTATATCTTCGTATGTCAAGATAAAACTATGCTCTAATCCAGTCTAACTGCTGTCTTATGTCTGTGATGTCTAATCTTGACATGTGTGTGTGATTTTTAGACACATTTTTAGTATGGAGACACAGGGCTAATTGGTGTGCCTGCAGTAAATTAGACAGACAGCTAGCACCTCTTAAATAGTGTTTAGCCTGTGAGTGCCATTAAACAGAGGATCTACTCTCATTAACCTACTGGAGACATGGAAGAGAGAGAAAAGGCAAGTATAGACAGAGAGAGAAAGAGAGATGAAAGGATTACAAAGAGAATGGCACTGTATAATCCAGATACATGATTGCATGAAAATTATGCTAATTCAAAAGAATTTTTGTCATACCGTCTAATTCTAAAATGTTGCTTTTGTTGCCTAATAAAATAGTGGTAGAGTGGGGATTGGGATTTATGGAGCAAGGAAGCAAGGATATAATTATATTTTAATTGAAGGTATGTCATAACAGCAACACTATTGGTCAGATTTACTAACATCTTGCGCCAGCCCAAACCGTCTTTTGGCGTTAAAATAGTACTGTCAGGATTTATTAAAGACATGCAGTGAAGAATTAGCACTGAAAGGCGTGGAAAGTTATTTTTGCGCCTGACCTTATTGAATATGTATTTGTAGGAGTTTCCCTTTCAGACGCAAAATTTATGGGAGGAGAGTATTAAAATGAATCACGCAATGCGATTTACTAACGTTTGCACTCGTCAAATTACTGGTATTTGTGCCATTATTTAACGCCCCAAAAAAGCATGTCTTAAAGCACGCGGTAATTTGTGCTGCTCTTGGTAGATTGCACTGGTCATTATGGAAATGATCTGGCTGCATCGGTGTTCTTTAAAGTGCACATTGTCAGTAAATCACACACAGAATTTTCCCCTCCCATCGCACTTTTATAGAGAGAGAGAGAGAGAGAGAGAGAGAGAGAGAGAGAGAGAGAGAGAGATCAAAGCAGCTAAACACTTTCATTTCACAAAATGCAATGTTATATTTGACATTTCTGGACCTCTGAGAATTCCAGTAATGCTTTTGCTAGGCTAAATTGCACACTAAGTTCCTATTCCTGGGTAATGAGTACAAGATCAACAGAAGAAAAACAGTCTGTAAAGGTAAAGTTGCAAAATACCATAGCAGATTCCAAATTAATCTGAACTTTCCCTTAGGCTGCCACAGTATATTCCAACCTCCATTAGAAACATTATAATCTGCTTTCTCCTGCATTCCACTCTACAAGTCAGGAGATGACGAGAGGCTTAAAAGGTATATGCACATACACAGCTGTTTGATTACTTGGCAGCAAAGTCATCCAACCATCAAGTTGACTTCCTCAGTGAGGCAGGGCTGTGTTTGTAGAGGCAGGAGATAGTGTTTAGACTGGGCACTCTCAATGAGCGATCTGACTGGCCGTGCTTTATAATGATGTTTCTATACAGCACAGGTTAATCACTTCACATTAAGAAAGTCTGATATAGTTTAAAATAGAAAACTATTGTTGGAAGTGTATGTATATGCTTATTATAAATAAGCTCATACTGTATATCTTCGTATGTCAAGATAAAACTATGCTCTAATCCAGTCTAACTGCTGTCTTATGTCTGTGATGTCTAATCTTGACATGTGTGTGTGATTTTTAGACACATTTTTAGTATGGAGACACAGGGCTAATTGGTGTGCCTGCAGTAAATTAGACAGACAGCTAGCACCTCTTAAATAGTGTTTAGCCTGTGAGTGCCATTAAACAGAGGATCTACTCTCATTAACCTACTGGAGACATGGAAGAGAGAGAAAAGGCAAGTATAGACAGAGAGAGAAAGAGAGATGAAAGGATTACAAAGAGAATGGCACTGTATAATCCAGATACATGATTGCATGAAAATTATGCTAATTCAAAAGAATTTTTGTCATACCGTCTAATTCTAAAATGTTGCTTTTGTTGCCTAATAAAATAGTGGTAGAGTGGGGATTGGGATTTATGGAGCAAGGAAGCAAGGATATAATTATATTTTAATTGAAGGTATGTCATAACAGCAACACTATTGGTCAGATTTACTAACATCTTGCGCCAGCCCAAACCGTCTTTTGGCGTTAAAATAGTACTGTCAGGATTTATTAAAGACATGCAGTGAAGAATTAGCACTGAAAGGCGTGGAAAGTTATTTTTGCGCCTGACCTTATTGAATATGTATTTGTAGGAGTTTCCCTTTCAGACGCAAAATTTATGGGAGGAGAGTATTAAAATGAATCACGCAATGCGATTTACTAACGTTTGCACTCGTCAAATTACTGGTATTTGTGCCATTATTTAACGCCCCAAAAAAGCATGTCTTAAAGCACGCGGTAATTTGTGCTGCTCTTGGTAGATTGCACTGGTCATTATGGAAATGATCTGGCTGCATCGGTGTTCTTTAAAGTGCACATTGTCAGTAAATCACACACAGAATTTTCCCCTCCCATCGCACTTTTATGGAATTGTGCTCTATCGCTAATTTGCCCTGTTTAGTAAATCTGGCCCTAAGAATTCAAAATGATTTTACTCAATTAACCTGTAGGCTTTTTGTTTTAAGATCTATTTTTTGCAGGGTTTTTTGCCTTTTATTGTGATAGGATAGTGTAGAGATGACAGGAAGCAAAGTGGGAGAGAGGGGTGGGAATGGGAAAGATCCTTGAGCCGGGATTCAAACTCAGAACGCCTGTAGCACAATGGCGCTATATGTCGGCACGCTGCCCACAAGGCTTATCAGTGCCGACTTAACCTGTTGGCTTTAATGAAAACATCTAATTCATTGGATTATTAAATAATACCAACCCCATAAATTACTATAAGTATTCTATTTAAGATATAATAAAACTAATAACGTCATGCCATTTGGGGCCTTCTGTGCCAATGGGGGCCAACTTACCCCAAAGGTCTAATTTCATCTTTTCACTTCAAAATAAAAACGATCATTTCTAAATCTAAGTACATTAAACAAAAACTCACACACTCTCCTCTAAATTAGACTGTGTTCTTGGGATTATGTGATTATTATGATGTTGTGTATTCAAAGGCTGCTCAAATTATTTAGTGCCACTGTTACGTAAGGTCAAAATCCAGTTCTGAGCCTACAACTATATCTGCATGTGGACATTTAGAGGAGAGTATGTGAGTTTGTTTCCACACAGGCAGGCAGGGGTTGTCATCGCCACAGAAACACACAGCTAATGGGGGATTCAAGGCTGTCACCCACAGTCTCTAAGTTTCTAGACTAAAGACCTTATCACCTCAGAGCTCTACGCTTCACCACAAGACTTTTCCCACTTCTAGGACGCAGGGGCTCACTGAAAGAGGACAGGAGAGAGGAGTGGGGACGTAAAGCATAAAACAGTGAACAAATTGATTTAAGCAGGCAGCTATCAAACTTGTTTTCCACCAAAAATGGATTCACCAAAACCTCTCTCAGACCTAGCCTGTGTTTCCACCAACATGAGAGCCGAACTGTCTACATTTCTGCCTACCCTGTCCAAACAACTTTATTTTATTTTAGATCGACAGGAAAAATGAATGAGCAATGCAGCATAAATAAAGAACTGAAGAGGTGTCGCATTGACACATTGAATGATTATGTTGGGCACAATCCAGTTTTATGCAATCTAGCAGCATTGTTTTACGGCAAAATGAGTTGTTGTTTTGAACACTTTTTGGTGTGGACAATGACATTACCGTGCCCTCCAGTGTCAAATGTTAGTTTAGTATTTGCTGTTTCAAGACCAGTATGTGTCACTAATTCATAATGTGAAGCCATTTTTTTACGACCCAGAAACCCTTTTTCTGTGGTGAAATGCACAGAATGCTTATTCATTTGACACTGGGTCCTGCTTATAGAGAAAAGAAGAGAGAGAGAAAAAAAAACTCTCTGCACATTTATTTTCATTGTTCCCTACACTTGTACCCAACTTATTATCTAATTATGAAACCTGATACAAATAAAGATTGACATCAGTTGATTATTATCATATAACAATACACTGGCATGATGTGCAGTTTATCTTAACAGTTTTATTGACATGTTGTTAAATTAGTGAATGTCTGCATGTTAAAGATGATAATTAGACGGTGAGAGTTTTGCATGTGTGTGTGTCTGTGTGCATTACTCACCACCTGCATGGCAGAACTGCGTGGCGGGTGGGGCTCAATTAGCAGCTGGCAGGGTGTCTGTCCAAAACTTCTGATTTGAGACTCTACAGCCTGAGAAAGACAGAGAGTCAGGGTTATGGTGGCACTAATGAAGAGATATAGGACTATAAACGTCACCTTGAGACAGTGGCTAACTTGCCCTGGACAATATCAGCTAATACAGACACAAAGTAATGCGTGTGTGTGTGGAAAAAAGTAAGAAAAGAAAAGTGGCAGAAATAATGATCATAATAATGGGCAACATAGGAGCTGAATTTATGTGCATTTCTGTGCATAAGAGTGTATTAAAGCAGATAAACGTGTGTGTGCAATGGAGAAAGACTAGAAAGAGGTTCCATGAACACTTTTAAGTGATGATCCAACAAATCCCTCAATGTGAGTTTTTCTTTTATTTATTTACTTCACAGACAGATTGAATTGATTCACAGAAATTTGCTGCCGTTTTAAATCAGAGATGTTAACGACAGAAGGAAGGCTCATGAAACCACAAATAAAGCCAATAAATAAATAGATAAAAAGTGCATTAAAAACACAGTGCCTAATTTTCTACTGACACCAAAACCATTGTTAATTTATTATGAATATTTGATCTCCTGGCCCTACTGCAGTGGCTCTCAACCTTTTTTTCCACTGGGCCGTACTATGGTGCAAGTCTCACGGGCCGCACGCATATCATTTGCATATTACGTCACCAATATAAACCTATAAAAATATTCTAGCCTAAATATTATGATATCTAATCGATTACATTCATTGAAATAAATAAATAATTCTACTCACCATTAATAAAACACCTGATGCTGTCGAGAGCTGACCAATTTTGTGAAATTCGGCTCGAAAAGAGTAACAGCACAATGAAGTTGCGATTGTAAGTTGCAGTCTGTAAGATGCGCACGGAAGCGTGACTTGACTCGCAACATTGCAGAAAATGTGCGTTCACAAATGTAGCCTATGTTGATCCAAATATGAAAAGCGCTTTCGAATTTAATAATCTGAGGTTCTCTCCAGAGATGTTTTGCCACATTTCTGCAATTAAGGATGATTGCTGCATAGTATGGGGTGTTCCCTGTTGCCTGAACATCTTCAAGTGAGTGGCGGGGCAAACCAAAAGTTGATGCCGAAAGTCCAGCACTCTCCTACCTTCACTGCTGATACTGCGACTATTCTTGTTTTTATGTGTTCCTTCGCTGGCCTTTTCTACATTTAGTTTTGTCCCTTAATAACAAATTTGTCCATTCTGATGCTCAATTTTACCAAACTAATGGCTGCTGATGACTATTTGAATTGAATTCTGCCAAAGTGCACACTTGTAAGTGTTCGTTAAATGCGTAACGTTAATTATGTGAGTACAGGTCTGCTCATGTCTGAAAATAATATTTGAAAAACACATAACAAAAACATTACAGCTTATATTTGTTTAGTAAATTTTTTAATTAATGTAAAAACTAAAATGAATTGTAAAACTGAAAGTAATATTTTTAATTGTGCTGTTTCAGCATGGTGGGCCGCATTTTAATTTGTGACAGGCTGCGGGTTGAGAACCACTGCCCTACTGCATCAGTGTCTCAAGTATCACTCTGTCGCACTCTGTGGTCAAGTTCAGTTGTGTGTGATGCATGTCAGATCATTTGGAATCTCTGATGGAATTTTCATGAATCAATAGAGAAACTGTCATAATCCCACGCTAAAAAGAGAGAGAGAGGTATGCCAGAAATGTCCCAGCTCTCGTCTGACTGTTCTTGCTCTAACTGTATTCATGAAAGTATCAGGAAGTCAGGAGGCTTTCCACGTCCCTCTCATTGTATTTCTTCACTCTTCCACCTCTCTCTTTTTCCACTCCGCTCAGACTGCACTTCTTTACATCAATCCTTTCCGTCTGTTTCTAACTCTTATTATGCTCTTCATCTCCCTTTCTTCATCCCACTCTCCTGCTTTGATCTGGTTCGGCCCACTCTGCTGGTAACAATAGACTCCACCACACAAACTCTTCTTTATATAGTGTAAATCCACTAGTGATCTCATTAGAGGCATTGATGGAACACAGATGACAGAACTACTGTGTCTGGAAATACCATTCTAAAGAAGTGGGGTTCAGAAGAGGCCACGCAAGGGAAGACACCTCGTTTCAATTATATGATTGGTTGATTTCTACTCAAAAGCAAATGGAATTGGTCTGTGTGGCATCAATTCTTCATTTCTTGACCAAGTCTTTAGTGTTTGGCAAAACCACATCGCGTCACCTATTCAGTATGAGCTGTTTTTCAGTCAGATCACTACTTGTGTGTAAGGCATTTGCTTCAATAGTTTAGTAGTCTCACAGTCCTTTAGCATATTTAATTTGGGGAACAAAAACAAGTATGTGAGGGATAAAGGTACAGCCCATTCACACTGTTGTGCACATAAGTGTTAACTGTTGAGGCAATAAACATACAGTGGGGTCCAAAAAGCCTACACTAGAAATCATCAGGGATCAGGGAAAAATCTAAACAAGGCAAATAAAATAAAATCAAAGAAATTCAAATAAAAAAAATAAAATAAAAAAAATTAAAATAAAATAAAAATAAATAAAATGTGAATTACCATCACAACACACTTACATCCACTAAATCCCATAAGACACTTTTTGGAATATTGTGAAATTGTGCTGGTTAACATGTATTATCAGATTTTGCTCATAACTGTAGAGTTCATAGACTTTGAGTGCTGCTCGAAAGCAAAAGGTGTACTTACCAAATAATGAGACATCCTGAAACATATGCTAATTCTTCAGATCTTTTTATTTAAAACTTTTTATTCCAATTGTTTTTCTGATAATATAATTGAATAAAAAAAAATACATTTAAAATATCACTTACGGTCTCAAACTTTCGGACCCCACTACATACCTTTCCAAAACAAATGCCTCTTTTGAAAATGTATGTTTGAAAATGCATGGACCTTAACACAGTACAACTCATTCATTCATTCATTCATACATACAACTTTACGTAAAATTAAATAATTATATACATATTTATCCACCCCATTCAATCCCAAACATTGTTTCACAAACATACACTGAGATCTCAAACAGATCATCTTGTTTTATGGAATGCTGTGTCCAGTTCACTAATGTGATTCAGCAATGTGGCACAAGATTTGGCATCGCAAACAGGATGAAGGTCGAGCATTTCACATTGGGACGGTTTGTTTAAGCTAATATGTGGATGCGTCTTGCCCAGGCACCTGACCCATCTTCATTAAATCCTCTCCTGACATTTACTGCCACAGTAGAATGAGGCAGTTCTCAGGTCAGAGCTTCCAGCCAATGAGGAAAGAAGGTTATATGGGTGCTAGCCATGCTAGAGGGGCCAATCTCTTTAGGAGCACTAGTGCGTATCTGATGAGGTCTCTTTACATTCTACACATTTAAATGATGGAAATACCCCGTATGTATGCACACACATGCATACACACACAGTCATGCTCCATGAGTCACCTGATTTACTCTAACCCTTGACAAGACAATTTAGCTGTACAACAAGCTGTGACCAAATTTTTTTTATTTTGCATAATGAGGTCTCTATGAACACTTAGAAGAGGTTTTGGGGGAAGGGTTTCTCTTTAAATATAAGCCTTTTAAAGGTCCGATTAGTATCGGACTTGAGTAAAAGTGGGCTTGATTGGAGGAAAGGACTGTGTGTATGTGTGTGCGCATTTATTTCATGTGCAAAGGGAACCCTTTGTGCCTGTCATGTTCTTTTTTGTGGTGGCAGGGCAAAGACAGGAAGTAATCATCGTCTGAGTAAACATGGCCCAGTCTCCTGAGTGACCCTAATCTGCCATGAGACATTCCACACACCCCATACTCTACACGCACACACACGTGTGCACACTGGGTTCTACATACATAGAGACACAATTATACACACGGCTTGCCATCAAAAAAACCATACTCAGCTGCTCAGACTGAAATATCCCAGTCCTGCCCAATCAGGCCTGATATGCAAGATGCAAAACTAAAACTAGAACCAGAACCAAGCAGTTGGTTTCCACACAACCCGATCTGAGAAGATCCAGAGCTGCAGCCATCCCTGCTGTTTCCATACAAACATACATGCTCTTCTAAGAGCCACGCTAAACTACACCCTACTCGTTTATTTTTCTAATTTAACTCTACAAGCTGGGCCATGATGCGCAGTCGGGGTCCAAAACTGACTTTTTGCCACACCTTCCAACAGTGACTGAATTGAGAAAATATATCAGCCATAAATGTTTTTTGTGGCCATGAAACAGTATTTTGCATTTTTGTTTTTATCATTGGTCATTATGGCAATGTGATTATTTAGATGTATTTTTTTCTTGCATAATATTGTCAAATGGTACATTAGCTATGTTCAGAATTCATGTGAAATTGTCCCAAATCTGATTTTTTTTTTTGCTCATATGTGACATCTGTTTTTTCATAACTGTGTGAACAGTATAAACCAAATGGAATCTGATCTTTTCAGTTCTTTTTTGGGACACTTCCATATGTATCCCTAAACAAGATACTGTACAGGTCCGGCTTTTTGCAATGTGACCTCAGTCAGAACAGTCATATCAAAATCCATGACTGCTGATTAACATCCGTTATAACTCTGTGCTGACTCCAAAGATTTTTACAGACCAATTAGTTCTTTGCTACAAGCAAAACTTGAGGGATCGTATTGTAATTAATCTAACATTTAGCTCTCTTTCTCCTCATCCTTATCCCCCTAATCACCTGCTCACAAACTCGTACCTGAACTTTGTACATGATATAACTTACAATAATGAAAACTCATGTCATTTCAATGTCTGACTGACTTCCACAGAACACAAAATGTGAATTTTTCACTTTTAATTCATTATATGCTGGAAATCTTGTAAAAGTAAGTTCACGAGAGATATACAATGTCCAATTTGTGAACAAACTGCTCTTTTGAATGACATCTCAATGAATCTGTTGAGTGATTCGTTCAAGAACTGGACTGTTTGATTTCTCAAGCAACTTCACAAGGCAATAATGGGATGCAATAATCTGGAAGCAATTGTAAAAAGCCAACTGGAGGGGAAGATTTTCATGGAATAATGACATAGATTTCACCTTGTTCATCACACACAGCATTTTTTTCCATCTAAGAAAATATTTTTCGGCAAAAAAAAACAAAACTAGTGCTTGGCAAGTGTTAATTTTGGACGCTGCATGAGGTGCAGCTGAGACTATGATGTATTCAAGGTACTGTAAGAGGAAAACAAATGTGACAGACCTAAAAATATTGCACAAAAAAATTATGCATACTCAACATTCAAGGACTGTGTGGCTCACCAGTGCTGATCTGATATGCATTCTCTCTCATTTTTTCTCTTATACCTTAGATCCTTTAAAAAAAAATTCAAGCTTGTTTATTACAGTTTGATTGCAGACACAGCCATGTGAATTTATTGATCTCCTAATGGCCTGTGAATGGTGAAGTGGCAGTCAGGCGTGAGGAATCCCATTTTTACCTCTTCTTATTAAACAGGAAGTTTGCATGGTAATGGGCTGAACTGAGGAGATGACTGGAGCAGATAGGCAATGAATCTGCATCAGATAGAGGGATGAAGAAATAGATAGCGGATTAAGGGACAAAGATGAACAGTATGAATGGCGAAGGATGAACAGATTAAAGATGGGAAGCATGCAGTGAAGGAAGGAAAGAGCTATAAAGGGATAGCAAGAACACCTAGATGGGAATAAGGTGAGCCGAGCCATTAATCAGCTTCAGTCACTGAGCATGAAGGGCAGGAAGACTGGAACCACTCCGACACCAGCGACTGCCCCAGTGCACACATTCACACACACGCAACTGCTTCACTGGAGGAAAAGAATGGCACTCTGTGACCTCTGCAGAAGACATGCTATGCAAAGCATAGGTTGTGTAAAATTTGATGTGTGGATATATGCATACAGTTGATCCCGAGGTACAGTTAGCTTGTATAATTCACTACCTGAAGCTTCCTATTGGTGCCCTGGGATAAAGCTGTAAGCTGTATCTGCTTGTCAAGGATCAGTTTCTCCAAACACATTTGAAATCTTAGCTGCAATTGTTGTACTTACTTATTTATTCAACAAACAATGCAAACTATTGAATAAGATAATTAAAAATGTCATTTTGGTAGCATTAAAAACTATTTGGTAAGTACTAAATATGTAAAAGACACAAACAAACAAACATGCACACACATATAAGCATGCTCTTGAGTAGATTCAAAATAACAAAAATAGCATTTAGACTGTTGTTTTGTATAGGAAAGATCTAAACGTGAACCTCACTGACACTGTTGTGAACCTGTGTGTTGATCTTTTAGCTGACAAAACAATTAAAACACATCCGCTGGAAATTTGGGCAAAAATGTTTCACTGCATGAACGATCAACACCAAAGCATTCAATAGTACAAAAACAGCTGCACTTCCATCTCTTACATCAATGTTTTGATTTGTGTTCTATTAAATATGCCATCTACTCTACATCTACATCTAGTCTCTATATATCAAGGGCTTGATGCAATCTGGCTCATAGTCCTGTTAGGCTCGCATCCAGGACAATTATGTAAGGAACAACCAAATAACAATGTCTTTAAATAATGGATTACAGACCACCATGCCATCCTCTGGGATGATGTAAAGCAGATAGTCTTGAATGGTAAATGTTCTTTATGCCAGCACTAGATGCTACTGTATGTGTACTGTCCTCTACAGTTGCTGCCGGTGTGAACAGGGCTTCTCACATTAATACAAGACTGCAATTCATGACTGAAGCAAAAAATAATTCAAAAATAGTACAGGAAATATGCCAAATATTTATTACAGTATTCTGATGAGAGAATGCAGATGTTCAACAACTGTTATTTATAATGAAAGTCATTTAGTTAGTGTAATAAAATTAACCTATTTTGAATAAGAACTGGTTCTCGGTTCCCAAAGCTACTATTTGTGTCTCAGATCTCAGATCAGATCAGATCTTTCCCTCAGCGAAAGGCAGTACCTGGACCTGTTTGAAGGACATCTGTAGCTGTCAGTGGGGCAGTTAGTGAGCTAGCTCTGCTTGAACTGGTTTGTGCTTCTGTGTGGCAGCTCCCAGAGAGAAAGGGATGAATAATAAATGAGTTTGGGATAGAGAGAGAAAAAGAAGGAAACACCGAAAGAGAGATTCCTATTGAGTCTGTAGTTTGTCTTCAGGGTTCACAGTAACAGCTGAACAAATGTTTTGTAAGTGTCTTCTGAAGCTCAAACCTGTTTACAATAGCTCTGTTCCAAAAACCTAGTGTGCTGCTTCTCTGCTTACTGACAACACGGGCAGCATATTATATCTTATCATTTTTTTATTTTCCAATATTGAATGAAACACAAGTTTGGCTTTTTATGGAGGTCATTATGCATTCTATGATTGCCACTTCTGCAAAGGACACACTTGAAAGTGCCGTAAAATTTAGCCAAAAAGTATAACAGGAGATAAAACCATTAAGCCTACTTTTCATCTTTGTGAAAGAAATCACTACCTGCCTGATGTTTGAAATATTCTTAGATTTTTTTTCATGTTTGCAAGAAGTCTCTTACTGCATTTATTTGATCAAAAATACTGTAAAAAAAATGTAAATATTTTAAAATGTATTAAAATTGATCTGTTTTCTGTTTTTATATTTTAAAATGTAATTAATATTTTATTTAGCAAGCATGCATTAAACTGATCAAAATGAACTGTAAAACACATTTATAATATTATAAAATATTCATATCTTTTATAATATATATATATATATATATATATTTTTCAAATATAAATGTTGTTCTTTTGAACTTTCTATTCATCAAAAAAAACAACTGAAAAAAGTATCACATTTCACATAAAAATATCAAGCGCTAAATTAAAGTAACAGCGCATTGTTTGCAGTAAATATAAACATGGATTGACACGAAAATGTAGTAATTACACCATAAATGCATATTATTAAAGTCTACTGTGTTTCACAGTCAACACATATAGCTTTTTGGCTAGGTTTAAAGGGAAAGTAAACAAGCACTTTCAGATAAACAAGGCAATAATAGATGGCACTTGTGGAGGTAGGAAAACGAAGTTCTTTATGAACCGCAGGATTGCTTGTAATAAAGATTTCAATGCAAAAGGAAAGGCAGTAGAGCTGACTATTTCTGTCAATGGTAAGTTTGTGATAACGTAAAAAACGTAGTTTAAATGTTTTGCCACTTGCTTGAGCAACTTAATATATAAATCTAGAAGTAAATGCAAAAGTAAAAAGCATTGAATAATGTGTTGCTTTTATTTATTGTGTTTAAATATGAAAGATTGTATTACTGTACTGTGTAAAAAAAAGAATGGCAATGCTGAAAAAGCATTTTCAGTGACAATGTTTGGATTTGAAATCAAAATAATGGATAAATGTTGTGATTGTGGTAAACAAGGATTAGTAGCGGACTCCTGTGTGAAAGCTGCTTCCTCTCACAAGAGTCACCTAAGAGGGAAATCCCCCTATTTTCAAAAATGAAATTCAGGCCTGAATAAATGTTTAAAAATCCTGATTGGAGTATCACTATAAATAGTTATAAATGATAAAAAAGGCGGCTTTAAAAAGATCGGTATCAGTGATCGGTATCGACAGATACTGCTTTCTGTGATCGGCCTCAAAAATCCTGATCGGAGCACCTCTAATCATGTGACACTGAAGACTGGAATAATGGCTGCTGAAAATTGAACTTCGCCCTCCCATGAATAAACTACATTTTAAAATATGTTAAAACAGAAAGCTGTCTTTTTAAACTGTAATAGTATACTTCACAATATTACTGTTTTGAACAAATAAATGCAGTCTAGGTGAGCATAAAATCCTTTTTTTTTTTTTAAACAAACATTAAAAGTATCTTAATTATTCCAAACTTTTGACAAGTAATATATGTGTAAAAGAAAGAAACACACTCACCTCTCTAAGCATGGGGTCAGATATGGAGCTGAGGTTGACTGCTCCTTCATAAGTCAGGTAGTAGAAGACATTGAGAGCTCTGATGGCCTCAGGTCCCTGCTGCTTGTATCCAAATATCAGATCAATCCACTGATGCAGCTGACAGGACACAAATTCACTCTCCAGAGCCTATAAAACACACAAGAGATAAAACTAATGTCATTCAGACTCAGTGACACAACAAGACCGAAAGAACACACCACCCCAAAAAAAGATGTGGGTAAATAAGCTAAACTGAAGATAGTTAGAGTATAAGACATAGCAGTCATGCCACATGGTATTTCACTAAGTGAATTCACCCCAGATTGCTATAGATTTGTTATTTTTTTAATTTCTTCACATGCCCAACAACTCACAGAGAGCTCCTCGGAGAACGTAACCAAGTAGCATGGGTAACGGGATCTGTCAAAATGTGCTTTCAACAGTCACAAATGACATAATACACACAAATTACAAGCATATGCTTCTAGGACAGAACCGCTGGAGCAATGCAGATCGTCTTACATGAGCAGGATGAGATATCTTTGCTCTTTTGTTTAGTCTCATCTCTACGTGCTACGGGGCGTCTGAGTGTGTTGTTGTTTTCGAAGCTATGATTGTTCTTTGACTGTCATAACATTGAAACGCAAGCTGTTTCCCTCTTCATTAGCCGCCAAAGGAGGGCCTCTGTTTATGACTGCTCATAAAAAACAGCAATTGTGTTAATTTGCTCAAAGCTGTGTGGGCACAAAGGCCTCTAAACGAGCCCAAATGAGTATGAGAAGAGCCTTGATTGTCATTGCTGCCTTGTGTCACATTAATTTAGAGACAAACATTAGGCCCTGCACTTAAACGGCAATTTATATCATTTAAATGCTTACCGGAAGGGTCTTAGCATCACTCATTTAAATGTGAATTCGCCGACAGCTAATTCCGCTTAATTTGCACTCCAAGCTTTCTTAATTAGAACTTTAAATCAGAAGGGCAATGAGAGATGCTGTGAAATGTGGCATTTGCAATATGACAACAGGTTTGACAGCAAAATAGTTCAGTTCTTGTGTGGTGATAAGTTTATAAGTGATTGATGCTAGCAGAAATTTCAGAAATAAAACCCAAGCGTTGCATAGCTTGGGTTGGTTAAATATTAATGAGATATCTTTTGAAATTACATGTGTATATTTTTTTTCAACACAAGTATGCATGCAAAGGTGAGAAATAATTGGATGGTACTTACTACCTATCACGCTATATTAAAATATTATACTTTATACTACATCACTATGCTACATTTCTATTTTAATGTTAAAATATTTTGTCACAGAAAAAGCAACAAAACGAAATATTAAATTTAAATACTACTAATTAACCTATTTAATAAGATTTGTCAATTATTTAATCAGATAATTTAATAAAATCAGGTAATGAGATCATTTGTAGAATACTTTATTAATAAAAAAAATAAGAGTTGATATTTTTCTTTCATTGTTTTATTAGCAATGCACAGCATTTATTATAAGCACTTGCCTAAAACATTGAGATTTATTCCACTTAATCTATTTTTATTAAAAGTAACCCGTTCCTCTGAGTCTTTTAGTTTATTATGTGGATGGATTGACCCGGCACTGTTCCATGACTTGTCTGTTTCCAAATTTAATGCAGAGGCTGATGGGCATTTAATGTGGGCCGCCATCTTGTGTCAATCAGCGAGGGGAAACAAAGAGGGGGGCAATGTTATTGGACACCCACTCTCCAGAGAACTGCTTTTATGTTAATCAAGGAACTCTAAAATCAGGAATGAGATGGGAACCCTGCTCAGGGACGCCTGACCTCATCAGAGATGCAGAGAGCGTTTGGTAGGGTCTCCTGAGGCAGGGGTGTCACTCTGAACCCATGCTCTTTCATCAAAAGAGGAGGGGGAGACGTGTACCTACAACATTAGATTCCTTTTTAAAAATGACTACACCACATACTCTAACCCAGAGGGCATGTGTGTATATATACAAAGAAATGTAAGTGCTTTTGCAGTAAAATGTCAGGTTGAGATGCTTGATATGACAGACTTCTAAAGGCTATCTCATAAATGTGTTGTCTCTTGCAAAAAATAAAAAAAATAAAAAACAGACTGGCCAGTTTACAAAACAACACACACAAATTTTTTTTTTTTTTTTTTATCTGATTGACCAGATTACAAAACAATAGAAAACAAAAACAAAACATTTTAAAGGTTTCATGAGAGTAGGGGGAAAAAATTAATAAACATGGGGTGTTGTCTGTCTTAGCAGGTTTTTAAAGGAACGGTTTACCTAGGACTGAACATTCTGTATGTATTTTTTTATTTATATGTATTTTTATGAATTAACACACAGAACTTACCACATAATGGCAAAGAGCAAAAGCAGCATCATAAAACCATCAAAATGTTATTTGGAGGAAGACATGAAGATATTAGTGGATAACAATATTTTACTTTTCATCACAAAATGCTATTTTATGCCTCCTGAAGATTTGGAACATAATAACGAATTTAGCCTTTTATTGTACCTTATGGTCAATTTGGGATCTTGACAGCCATGGTCACTAAGAATTACTGTTGTGCTATTATTCAAAAATATTTCTACATTTGTGTTCCACAGAAAAAAAATGTCAGCATATGGGTCTGGAATGACATGAGGGTGAGCAAATAATAAAAATCTTAATTTTTTGGTTGAACTATTCCTTTAAATTCATGTATATGTACAAAAGAGGCCCAGGAGTGTGTAAGATGTAGCTCATTAAGATTGCTCATATCTGGAGAGCATTATTGATGTGCCAATTAGTAGAGGCAGTATGTCCCATAAAATCCACCGGGAATCATCAGCATTATGGAAATGTGTGTGTGTGTGTGTGTGTGTTTGTGTGCTGGCTGTTGTGGGGTGAGGTATCACAGCTGCTGGATCAAAAAATGTATTCAATTTTATTTCAGCACTGCTTTTGCGCTGTGGAAAAATGCTGTAAATGCATCAAAAAAATAATAATGACATCTCAAAAACCTTCAAATTTCAGTTTATGCACTAAATGATGAGCTCACTGGGAAACAAAACAGCACTGAAGACTTTGTTATAACAGAGATTTTTCAAATTTTCCCTATTTTCAATAGCATCAGATTTCCAGGCAAAAACCTAGAGAACACATAGTACCGTAAGACACTAATGATCTTTCAAACATGTCTTTTTACGAGATGGATCTCTCTGAGCTCTTATGACTTTCATTGACCATTTCCCTGTCTTTAGCAGCCCTTTAAAAGCATTTTAAGGACTTAAGAGGTAACCTGTCTGTAGCCATGTTAAAATGTCACATAACAAATCAATCTGGCTGTTTTGCATTAGAATACAGGGCTGTCAAGGGCGAAGGAGTGCAATGGTGAACACATGGGTGGACGGGTTTATTTGACTGGCAGCTGGATTGGACAGTATTGATGAAGAGAGATTGTGGTGGCACTAATCACACAATTGGAGAGTGCGATGAGACCTCGACACAATGACAGACCACGCAAATTATCACGCTGATATTTTTGAAGTGTGTGAAGTTTGCAGCCAAAAGCACTGCACTCTAATTTTGATATAAGGGCTGCCCAGAAAAGGTAGATAGAAGCAAATATATTTGTAAGTTGCATATACATTTGTAAGCCTAGTTTTTAATTAAATTATGAACAATGAAGGAATTGAGATGAGTTTCTGTACGTTGATCATGTGTTCTGCAAGCTATTTTTTCAGTGACTTTCAAAAGGTCACACACAAATGACACCTCTACTATAAATAACATTTTAAATTGTAAATATAATTATAACTTTTATACATTTAAAGGTGCCATAGAATGCATTGATACAATATTTTAAATTGTTCTCTGATATCTACATAGAAGGTATGTGGCTTAGGTAAGGGCAGAAAATCTCCAGAAACGGTTTTACATGTCCATTTACAACCCTAAGATTTGTCCCTAGAATGAAATGCTCAGTTTTTACCTTATTTGGAAGGGTCATGAATAATAATGTTGAGCTCTGCTCTGATTGGCTGTTTCACAGTGCGGCTCATTTCAGTAGCTCACACAGCAGGAAGGAAACACAGGGAAAATATATATGTCAATACTTTCTCTCGCAGTTATATCGTTGGGTAATTATACTGTATATAAAATGCGGACATCAGGGTGCCGCTATTAATATGCGGGGCATTGAAACTGCTTTCGAATGCACGATCACGTTTCACTTTTGAGATTTGCGATCGCACGTGCTGTGTAAACTACAGCGGCAGTACTTACCACACATTTTACAAGATCAGATGCTTGTCAGTGGTGCTCAGGATCTGTAAATCATTCGCCATCATCCTCTCTGCCATTTTCGCTATTATCCTCACTTGTTTCTTCACAATACCTGCAGAACTTCTGATGATTCGGCTGTGCAGGTCCAGGTGGCGGCTGGCATAAAACATGAGCGGGTATATGCAAATGTTGGGGGCGTACATATTAGTGATCCCGACTGTAACGTCACAGTCGGTGTTATGTTCTGATTCGCCTATTTTTCAGTGGTCTTTTGAATGCGCAATATTTACATAAGAAGGAGGAAACAATGGTGTTTGAGGCTCACGGTATGTCATTTCCATGTACAGAACTGTTATTATTCAACTATGCCAAGGTAAATACAGTTTTCCATTCTATGGCACCTTTATAATAATTATAAATAAAATTCTAAAATCTAAATAATTGTATTATAGGAGGCATATTTGCTATATGTTAACTATGAAGAAAAGGGACATTTAAAATTGGCTATTCATATAGTCTGACAAATGTTTAAGCTCCGTCCTCATAGTGTTTTTTTTGGGATACAAATAATCTTTTCCCATCTTTGTAATAGCAAAGTCCACAAAAGGATATATTTCTGAATAAGATGTATATTTTCATTTTTTATTTTTTTCATTGACTGACCTCTTCTTGAAACACTTATGTACCGGACATGGCCTGCTATAAATCAATTCACAAACTTTTTAACCAGCACGTGAATTCAAACAAGACTGCTACTACCTGTGATTATTCTTTCAGGCCATTTTACAGAAGGTAAAAGACACTGTAATCTTTACCAGCAATGTGCAGTCTAGAAAAATGACTGACCTGGACACTCT